TGTGGCAGTAATCATTGACAAAGAGCTCGGCATCCTCCGCCAGCTGCTGCCACAAGACCAGGTAGTAGGAGAGGTTCCCGTTGGGCTGGGTGGGGGCCTTCCAGCGCACGATGAGGTGGGAGGAGGCGTTGGACATGGAGATGACCTCTCGGGGCACCGTGGGGGCTGTCGGGGAGAGAGGGAGAGAGGGTCCAGTGAAGAAAGGCTGCCAAGGTGGGTGGGTGGGGCCCCCCTTCTGCCCCCACCCCCCAAGGCCGGCTGCTCCAGAGCGAGGGAACACCCCCTACAACACACACGCACACACAGGGAGAGCCAGAATGAACATAAGGGGAAGCCTCTGGAGGACCAGCTCCAGGATGCCCAAGCGATGGGGACGCCGGTTGTAATGCAAAGAAGAAGAAGAAATGGAAAGGGGGGGGGGAGGAGGAGGAGGAGGAGGAAAGGGCAACGTGTCCCACCTCCCAGATGGCGCACACGGTGCCGCCTGCAAAAAAGGAGGGGAGACAAACCTCCCGCTGGCCTTGCCCTCCACCTTGCCCGCAGGCAGAGCACCCCTTGCACCCGCACACCTACATCCCCCACCCTGGGTCTCCTCTGAGGAGGAACTGTGTCTCCACCAAGGTGCCTCCTCCTGCAGGAAGCAGCCTGAAAACAGCCCGGGGGGGGACGACTGGGAGCCAAGAATGGACCCTCTCTGGGGCTGTGGGCAAGGGGGCGCCGCCATGTGCAAGGCATGTGCAAAGAGGGGAGAAGTTTTCCCGGGGCAGGCCGGCCGGCCTTTTACCTGCTGGCAATGTCCGGATGTAAACCACTTCACTCTGAGCCCCGTAGTTGCGGCCCTCCTCGGCGGTGGTGAGGGTGATGGCCCGCACAAAGATGGCATACTGGGTCCACGGCTTGAGGTTCTGCAGGATCACCCCTGGCTCCTGGTCGCTGCTCAGGGGCAACTCCACGTCCACCACATTCCAGCTGTTTGCCCCACAGGCGTCCTGCCCCACGTACTCCGTCACATTCTGGAAGGGCCTGGAGACAAGGGCCGGCATCTCAGGGGCAGCCGCTGGGGGCCTCCTTCCAGCTCCCCCCGGGACCCTTTGCCCTTCCACAAATACAGACGGAGAGCACAGGGCCACCCGGAGCCACCACACAGCCCCTGGCCTCGTCTGTCCCACACCGCGCCAGGTCCCTCCTAGTTTACCCAGCAAAATTAAAGGGGGGGGGAGGAGAAAAAGCAGAGCACGGCCGTTCCATGTTCCAAACAGGCTACAGATTAAAAAAAGGGGGTCTGGCCCCGTGTGGCCAAGGGCTGGGCAGACACCACAGGGAGAGCGCGCGGTAACCACGGCTCTCAAAGTCCATTTGCTCCACCATCATCCCCAACCCCTGATCCCTTTCAAAGGAAGGAAGGAAGGAAGGAAGGAAGGAAGGAAAGAAAGAGAAGAAAGGAAGGAAGGAAGTCTGCGCAGGGACATACGACTCCTTGTAGTAGACCACGAAGCTCAGGAGGTCCCGATACTCCGGGGGCTGGTAGCGTTCCCACTTGAGGAGGATGCGGTCCGCCTCAGTGGTGTTGGACACAAAGCGCAGGGTCTGGGTTTTGCCTGAAATGGGAGGGGGAGGGGGCAGAAGGTGTCACGAGCTCCGAATAAGGCCTGAAAAGGCCAGGTGGGGCGCCAGCGAGAACCAAGAGTGGGGTCCTTTCCACCGAGAAGGCCGACTCTGTTCTCTGGGCAGAAGGGAAACAGGCGGGCGCGACTGCCAGGGAATGTGAACGCTGGACGGGCAGTGGGGAGGGCCTGCCTGCCCGCCCGCCCGCCTGCCCGGCCTTTGTGCCTCCCCAGTGGGGCTCTCCCCTCCCTCCCACCATGGTCGCCAGGCCGCTTCCCTTTCCCCTGGGCCTGGGGCCTCTTGCTGCCTCCCCAGACCTTGGACCCCGGCGCACCCCCCGCACCCCCCGCCCCGCCCGGGCCAGGCAGCTCACAGGAGGCTCGGTCTCCGTTGGTCCGGGGGTTGATCTCTGCCTTGTTCTGCCTGCCCTTGGTGCCGGTGATCTCCTCCATCCGGTAGATCTCGGAGAGGCACAGCCGGGGGTTGAAGGCAAAGTACACCTTTCCCACCGGGATGGAGAGGGTGTGGTGGCTCCAGTCCCAGAGCTGCTGGAGGTTCTGGTTGTCCAGCACGTAGAGCGTGTAATTCCTGCGCGGAGCACCCGGGAGAA